TTCTACATGACGTTAAGTGAATAAAGTTAAAATCATTCACAATTACAGTAAAACGTACGCCAATAAAAACTCACTTACACGTCGTCGTTTCGAATCTGATGATCGAAAAACGCGAAGTGAAAATGTGTCTCGGTGTCGTCGTTCCGTAGCATCGGGTGGGCGTTGCGTGTATTTAAGCTCCCGCGGCATGACGTCTCAATCCGGGTTACGGGTAGTGGAATTTCCGCTTACGTAAGTTCCGGTAACATGTAATATCGTAGTCAAAATGTTAATGCACAGGCTTTTGTTCCGGGTGAAGGATATTCCTTTTCATAGAATTCCCGGGATGGGAATATTTACTGTATCATGCAATCTGGTGGATTGAATCGAATCCGAACAATCAACTGAATTCTTGTCAGAATTTCACTTAATTCAGTTAAGATTTTACTATGTTTGATAATCACCACTTATACAATGATGAAGCAAAATATTTTTACTTAGTTACGTTGGAGAACTCTTTCAACCCACCATAGACCGCTTTCTCCCTCTCAAACGAACTTCATCAAGCTTTTTTATGACTGCTTCTGATTTTTGGGATGAGGCTGTGTAGCTCTTTAGTAACGTCTCAAACAGTGCCTCTGTGCTGGGATGAGTACTGAGGAAAGCTTTTTCCAACACGTACAAATCTACCGCCTTATCCTCTGGCAGAGTCGATATGTAACTCAAACCAAAGTCGATGAGGACTAGGTCAGTCTCGCCATCCTCTGGTGGCCGCCTCAGTAACATGTTGGAGGTGGTCAAGTCACCGTGGATGACGTCCTCATCATGCATTTTGGCCAGGATGTGACCCATCTTCTTAACCAGATGCTCCAGCTCCACATCAGGACAGGAGGAACCAGACAGCTGCGCAGAAGCAATGTGGTCACGTACTGTCGAGGAATCCGTGATTTCCTCCAAGAAAATGCAGTGGGAGGTGTAGTCCACAAAGTAGACAACAGGGGCTGATATGCCTAACAGGGAAGAATTTGAAGGAGAATTCATTTTAATAGCATGGTTGTGATTGTGAAGTTGGCGCCTAAAATCAGGTGAGTCATCAAGTACAAGTTGGAGGTTTCAATAAAATGATGGGAGCCATTTGTCACATTTGCAATATTCATTTTTTAAAATTCAAAATTCAGTCTTTAAATATTTCTACCCCTGCTAGACTAATTCTTATTTACTCACACTGACTTATTTATTCCCATTAAGTTATCTTTATATACACATGAAAAAAATCGCTTGTTGAGGACGAGAACTTAACTCTAGTATTGAACGTTCACGAATAATCCAACCAATCTTAAAACTCACGCATAGAACAAGGGCGTAAAGGCAAAAATATTTTTTTATTCAACACAAAAACTTTTGTGACATCGATTTCAGAGTTTATTTACACATCTTAACCTCTGTGCAACAAGTCAATGAGTAGTGCCGTGACGTGAGCTGCTTACAGCGCCGTACTTGCCTGCTTTCCGGCAACGAAGAATAGAGCGAACCTCTTGCACAGTCCGACGGTGTGTCAGTTTTTCGTCCAACACTGGGTGTCTGTAACGTTTCGGGAACCTTTCTTTCACAATAGTCGGCTTCCCGAGAAACACACTACGGTATACTCGCGCTTCTGCGCCTTGTTTTAATAGCTCTGCTGTTCGAAGAAAGTCGAGTGTCTGCATCTCGCTGTTCTTAGCCATATTTTTTTTCCGGGACTGCTTCTTCTCGGTGATAATGACAGCTGGGAATAAAACGGATTACCGCCACCTACTGGTAGGGAATGTGAATCAATTATGTTTATGAATGAAAATGCAATTTATGGCAACGATAATTATAAGAAATAGCTCTTCTCATATTTTGCTGACAGGATTTTACGTTTAGAAACAAAATATGAAAACAATGACTTTTTCGCAGTATATTAAAATCAAATCTTCAAGTCTTGTTTCCAGAGAATATTATGGAGAAGATAATATTTTGTGTTCTGTTGTTTATTTTCATCCAAAGTAATGACATTCACGTGAATTATGTTTTCCTACTTTTTGTCGTGTGCTGCTCAGTCCAATATTTTAAATCTTAAGAGTATTTTTTCTTCTGTCTCTTCTTGTCCATCTCATAACTACCATTTTCCTCTTAATATTTATTTTCTGTCTTAAGTACATTGACACGGTCAAGGACAAAGCCATTGTCCTTTACCTCTTTCATTTTCCTCATTCATCAACTCCTTCCATCTACTCTGTACCCTTTTCTCAATGGTCAGGTACATTTCCAGCAGTGTCTTATATATATACATAAAAAAATAAATAAATCCTTGTCTTACCCCTCGGGTGGTGTGACAGACACGGATGGAACCATCAGAAAGAAGGAACACGAGAAACCAAGGGCTCAGCGAGGAGCTGAAGAGAGCCTGGAAGGTAAAGGTGACAGTCGGGCCTGTGGTGGTCGGAGCAATCGGGGCAGTGACCCCCAAACTAGATGAGTGGTTGCAACAGATCCCGGGAACAACATCGGACATCTTAGTCCAGAAAAGCGCAGTGCTGGGAACAGCAAGGATACTGCGCAGAACCCTCAAGCTTCCTGGCTGAATGTGGGACGGACACCATCCGAGGGGTGAGACGAGGATTTTTTATATGTGTGTGTGTGTATGTATATACACACACACACATTTTTAT